TGCCAATACCTTGCCTTTTATGGTATTGGCAGCGATGTGTCTGAACAGAATCGTTTCACTAAAGCCCGTTTTGGTCTGCTGTGCTGTCCACCATACAAATTCAATCCAGCTCAATTGGCTTCTGATGCACAAATGTTACAATTTTTTTTTCGTTCGAAATCCTAATTATTCTCGGCGTGAAATGAATACAAAACAATTTACTGTCTATAGCTGGAATGAACTATCTATCCTTCGGTTGTATGCGCAACCACTTTGTCATATAGTTGTTCAATTGCGTTGGAGGTCATTCAGTGTATGGCGTTTGTGCGGCTCTGTACACTGTACAGAGAATGGCAACGTCACATTTTATGTTATTTATAAATATTTATCAACCAGAATTGTGACCAAAGCCATTGCTTACTGTCATAACATTCGTTGATTGCAGCTTGTATTTTTGTATGATATGTATTATTCCTGATGAGACTGAAAATAGTTTGCGCGCACACACACGAACGAACGATTGTTGCTCATTTTTTTTCTTCTTCTCTCCATTCTATTCATACATTCAGCTGATTCGATCGAAAAAGGGCAAACTATACAACTGAACTATTTGGTGTGTCTAAATTTAGAATCACCAGCAACGGTAAATTACATAATTAAGGGGCCGTTTTTGTGGTCATTCGTAGTGTACGGTGTGTGTGTGCGTGTGGGTGTTTGTTATTTACCTACAAGTTTGATTGTCTAATTTGTTGGCAAATTCCATACACTAATGCATATCTAAATTATTGAAATTCGATTTTCCGAATTGAAGAGCTGACATTTACTAATCATTACTGATAGCCACAACAACAGCAACAACAACAGCAACAACAACGCAAGAACGTTCGCATTCAAGGTATAATTTATGATTAAAATACATGGAATGTGACAAATTTAATGGGTCTCTGTATGTAAACACAATTATTGCTCATCAATTTTCCTTGATTTACGGAGGCGTTCGAACAACTACTTGTTTGAATCCAAAAATAAACGCTCCAAAAATGCCATTATCAACTTTGGCCTGAAGATAAAAGACTATTATAGTTCATTTATGGACATTGAACATAATTACACATGAAATGTTAAGATATGTTATCGTCAAAGCAAACAACTAGGGGAATTTAACTCTTACGAGTTCAGCATGTTTTCTGCCAGTTTGCTTGATTCGCGGAAGTTCGACGCGTTCGTTGTACGTACTGACGCGCACGGTCACAAGTTTACACAAGTTTGTTTATGGTTTTGCGCGTTTTTCAAGTTGTTATTTGACAACTAAAACGCGTTACAAACTAAAAATCGGTTGTTTACGTGTATAAAGATTTTTCACATCCTTTCCAAAAGTTCAAAGATTTATATAAATATAAAATGGACAAAGGAAATATTTTTAAAGAGCTGGAGAAAGTGTTGGAAGAAAAAGTTAATCCAGATAGATATAACAAATGGAACGACTGATGTGTGCGCGTCGTCCAGCTTCATGTTTGCACACGAACTCGCACAAGTTCGCGCATGTTGTTTTAATACGGAACTTGTCAACTGAGTGGAATCATGCAAGTTCTCTGTTGAATGAAACAATTTCGTGCGCGTTTATATCATTTTTTTACAAGTTTTCACGTAGTTAAATCCCCCTAGGCAAACAATTCGTTGAAAATACACATTTCCCATTCCGATACTAAAAATTGACCACTTACAAACGAATTATATTTCATATCAACGCTTATCAAATGGAATGGATGTGCGGTTTGCGCTGACGACGGTTATTCTCCACATTTTCTTGACGGGGGGGGGGGGGGGGGTATAGAGAGGGAAAAACAATGTTTCCATTTCCAAAATCAATTTGTTTCCACTGAAGTATACAGCAATTGTTATTTATTTGGGCAACATTTTTCAAACGTGTTGAAAAGAATTCAATTTGTTGAACTACTGAAAACAACTAACTAATAATCCGATTAATTCAATTGCACGGTTGTAAGTCAAATTCGTAGTACACATGAACAGTTCAACTCCACACTCGA